TACCAAAATATTGATTTTAGATCTTAATTCTATATAAAATGAGCTTTAGTTTGATAACAAACTTGATGGGATTTGATAAGTATGAAAAATTACAAAAAATCACTCTGCATTATGAAATTGCCCAATTTTAAAATTGATAACATGATACCGCAGCAGTCACAGGTACACAATACAGTACAGTGATCCATTGTAATTTTACCGCTTAACTTAATTATTTATATAAATGAGCAATTACCTAAATTATATTCATGATATATACCAAACTTCTGAAATTATTATGTGTAATGAATTCTCATTAACAATCAATCAGATGTAACACTACACTTTAATGAAAAGGTAACAGGCTACATGCACTTGCAAAGCGTGGAATTTACAGTCAAATAAATGTATTTTGTAAGCCTATAATTTACAGAAATGTAACTTACATGGATCGTATTTAGCTGGTTCATCATCCGATGAGAGGGATGCAGTCTCAATTACATCAGTAACAACGTGCATCACATCAGTAACATCATCTACATGTGTCACATCAGTTACAATGTCACCAACATCCTCGACATCCTCCTCTTCAGCTTTTACTATAGTTACAACTGTAAAAAAAAAAAAAAAAAAAAAACTCCATCAGCATTACATTTTTCTCAGACAAGATACCTACAGTAACTATAGTATGACATCAATATTGATATTTTCTTACTTGCAGTATAAAAAATAATGTAACAAAGTATTGACTCAAAGCTAAGGTGCAACTTTTTTTATACCTAGTTTCGCGAACTTACTTTTGATTGTCGGGGTGGGGGTCGGTTGGGCGAGAAAAGATAAAAATAAAATATTGTTCTCTTATTTAAAGTAACAAATAGTTTTGCCAAAAACATCCAGGAGGTGAACATAAAAATTAAATTTTATTGGTGAATGTAAGCAGTGTAGTAAAAATACAATGGTCTAAAGTTGGAAGAAGTCATTTCTGAAATATAGTATATAAATGTATACAGTATCTTATTCTTGGAGATTTCAAGGCAGCGACAGGCATAATAAGATTAAATTTATTTTTGTCTGAAATCTCAATTTTTCCGTGGCGGCAAGTGCACTCACTAACTGGTCAAATATAAAATGTTATTTATATTTCAAATCATCATTTGGCGGCTGGCAGGTTCACCAAACGAGGTATAAAAAAAGGCTTGCATAAATGCAGTGTACTGTATTCTACAGTACTGCATTACTACAACAGGTGTAGTCGGTGGTTATTTTGCCTGTGTACCTGTTGTAGTACTGCAGTATTGTAGTATACAGTACACTGCATTTAGGCGAGACCTTTTTTATACCTTGTTTTGTCAAACCTGCCAGCTGCCAATAACAATGAGTTGAAATATAAATACTGTAACATTTTATTTTTGGCCAGTTAGTGCCGCCACAGAAAAATTATCCAGAGATCTAATCATCCTCATTAAAAGTAATGTGTATTAATAAAATATCTAATGTAGACATGGAAAACAGTAAGCCTAGGCCAAGATGCAAGCGACTTCAATATTTTTCTTTAGAAGATGTAAACAAATACTGTATTCGTTGTTTGCTCTTCCTTGTGAAAAATATGAGGGATTGGAATGACTGAAAATATCATCCTGAAAATATCATCCTAATATCAGTAGGCCTAACATAGTATAAACACATGTGATCTGGGTAATACTGTAATACAGTAACTACTCTATAGCTCTTTATGACTTTAAGAATGAATCATAAAAACAGCTTTTGATTTTTAGATATTCGGAACTGTATTACACTAAAATGTATTTTATTTCAATTAAAAAAACCCCATCAGCATTACTTTTGGAATTACAGGTAGGAGGGCAAACCTTTTATTTGTTTTAAAAAACAAAAGGAGAAAAATATTAACCTTATCTTCCACTTTAATATTAAAAAAAAAAAAAAACCTCCTAGATATGGAACTTGTTTTTGCTGCGAAGCAGCCAATTCATATTCTTGACAGCAATTTGACCTCTGAAAGGTCATTGTAGACTAACCTACTCATACCAACGTCTGCATGTTCGCGCTAGCACTCTAGGCCTAGACTAGCTACAGTAGGATGGTATAGGCCTAGCCTTGAAGGGACGAAGGTCCCAATGAAAAACAACGTCGCTCTTTGATAGCTAACATTGTCTATTTAACATCACAATAATTCATTATTAGACCTATAGTTGTTTTTTGAATTGTACTCCACACATCTCAGCCGATACCTTGCACAACTCGTTAACGTCTCGTCTCGTATCTATTGTCGTGATGTCATGGCTCGCTGGCTCACACTTGCGATGTCTCGCACTTGTGATCAAATAACACTCTGGCTCGCACTTTGGCAACACTCTTTGGCAGTCAACTCGCCCCTTGAAAACCCGCCCTTGGAAACTTGCCCCATAAAAAAATGTACACTTCCTAGACCATGCAGTCTTCAAAATAAAAATTGTAACCTTTGGTAATCAACTACATTTTCCACATACATAGAAATTTTTGAAACTTTATTTAAAAAAAGCCAAAACCATAATTCACCATTATAGACACTTTTGACAAAAATGAAAAATTACGACTTTGTTACCCAATGAGAAGTGTTCTAATATAGACAATGGGTCGTGTCTCATATTATTTGTTATATTTTTATTATTCATTATTTTCACTTGACTCGCATAAATAATTTTGTTCGAACAACATTTATATGCAGATGTACTTTGCAGCACTTCACTTGCAATTTGCAATTTCTAGTTCTATTTGGCCTAAACGCAAAAACATTCATTCTGTGAATAACAACAAATGCCAGTCAATACATTAGTAAAATGTTTACAAATACATGTACGCTATCTAGAGCATTCTTCTGATAAATTTAGAATCCTATCTCATAATGGGCTATAACATACCACATGACTAGAAGAAAAATGCTAATTCTATGATCACAAACTGACAAAATCATAAACAAATCTAAAACTAAAAAAAAAAAAAAAAAACCTCCTAGATATGGAACTTGTTTTTCTATTTGGCCTAAACGCAAAAACATTCATTCTGTGAATAACATCAAATGCCAGTCAATACATTAGTTAAATGTTTACAAATACATGTACGCTATCTAGAGCATTCTTCTGATAAATTTAGAATCCTATCTCATAATGGGCTATCACATACCACACGACTAGAAGAAAAATGCTAATTCTATGATTACAAACTGACAAAATCATAAACAAATCTGAAACTAAAAAAAAAACAAAAAAACTCCTAGATATGGAACTTGTTTTTCTATTTGGCCTAAACGCAAAAACATTCATTCTGTGAATAACATCAAATGCCAGTCAATACATTAGTAAAATGTTTACAAATACATGTACGCTATCTACTGTAGAGCATTCTTCTGATAAATTTATAATCCTATCTCATAATTGGCTATAACATACCACATGACAAAATCATAAACTAATCTGAAACGTAAAACCAAGTAGGGCAATCGACATCAAAATCATTCTAAAATTTGGTTCCAGTTTGTGAAGAAAAAAAAAAGTGTCACCATTACTGTTGTACAGTAGGTTATTTTCTTATACTATATGTCATTCAGGTTGATTAATTAATACAGTACTGTATACTGTACTTTTACTCCAATATACAAATAAATTTGTTTCTTGATAAAGTTATAGTTACACAGAGTTTAACTCCAGCTATAGAGTTTTAACTTAAAATATTTTCTAGAATAATAAACATAAAATACTTCTAAAAAAACTAAAAATTATGCTGTAATAAGTATACTGTACCATAAATAAAATTATATTCTGTTACAAAATTACTGTATATTTTGTTATTACTGTAGCGAAAACACTGGCAGTTACAGTAAAGTACTTTAATGACGATTTACAATCATAGTAAAATTTTCATAAAAGTTCAAATATTAAAAATGTATAATTGTCCTATATGGTATTCTGGGGAAAGGGTAAAGTTATGGTCTAATATTTAAACAGTACTTCCCTCTGGCAATATTTAAACCTAAAAATACCTACAATTGATAAAATATAATCCTAATATGCATGACTTTAAACTAATCTGTGAAAGTTAAAAATTATGGAAAAAAAAAAAAGAAAAGGGAAAATAAAAAAATAAGAAAAAAAAGCATGAAGAATGTCATCAGTTAAATAACGAATAAAAAAATATATCAGTACTGTAAGAACTTTTTAGGCAATACCCAACATAAATACTAAACATTCCAACTGTTTACACTGTAAAATAAAAACTAAGAAAATTTGTGATTTGCAAATTTTGAGTAAAATAAAATTGTATTAGTTTAAAAAAAAAAAATCAAACTACAAAAATATGTTTTAACTGCACTAATAAAGAAAGAGTAAAGGGGAAAACAGCAAGAACACATAAATACATGCGATGTACTAAATTTATTTCAAAATTAAAAACATATTCCCATCAACAACAATTTAAAAATTATTTGAAATTTGAATATTTCTACTATTACTAATATTAATGATAGCCAGAAACTGTTCACTCTTCCTAGCCAAAACTAAATAAATGATAGGGGGGCCTAGGCCTATACTGTCCTGTTTTAACTTCTTGTTGCTAGCCACCTAAAATAAATACCCGAGGACTATTTATATGAGAACAAATTTATAAATCACTTAATATTTAATAATTCTAATTTACAGTAAAAACCATAATAAATATACATTAAATTTACAATGTATGTAACAAAGGAATAAGATTTTTAAAATAATAACTTACACTCCAAACACTAATGAGTGTACCCTGCCTAGGCTACTCATCCTTGATATTGTAACCTTAGCCTTAGGCTAGCCTTTTTGCTAGGCTAGGCGCCGCCGAAGTTTTATCAAAGTTTACTATTACTATGAGAAGATTCAAAAGGCATATTCGAATCAAAATAACATCCTATTTTAATGCTGATCAAAAGCTATTTCGATAAATCTCCTACGTCACCAACAATTCGCCACACGGAAAATATCTTCTCAGGCCTTGGCAGCTAGGCTAGGCAGACCCCGACAAGAAGCGGACCAATGATATCAGTGCGCCGAGGCGTGCGTGTGATATCAGCATGCAATGACGCCATCGAAAAAAGAGCCGCCTTCACCACGAGGAACACGGGCCGCGCCCGGGGATTTGAAACGAAAGTCTGCTTGTCTAATTTCTAAATAATCTCGGAAACGACACAAAATTAGAAAAACTCTACCGTACAGAATTAGTCTATAACTATTCTTCTTTCAGTCTACAATAAGCTTACACTAATAAACCTATTCATTTTAGAGAATTTTGAGAAACTTAACAGAGTACTTCAACGGCCTACCTTCTTCTTCAGCCATTTTCCTCGCCTGACCAACTTGGGTTTCGCGGGGTCATCAGCGTTTGCTAAGCTGCTTGATGATGCGGTCATGCAGCACTTGTGCGTGATGCCGCTGCTTCCGCGCGATGGCTGCCCTGGGCATGAGTTGGCGGGAAGTGGGCAGGAGCCTAGGAAAAGTAGTCCATACAATATGTTTCAAAACCCTAAAACAAACCATAATCTATCTGCTATAATAAAGGAAAATACAATCTAAGACTATTATAATATAGATTCAACTCGGAATTTGTAACTTTTCTTTGGCAAATTCGCAAGAATTTTTGCGGATATACACAACCTTGTTCATTTATATTAAAGTTGGTCATACAATTATTAATGCAAGATTTTTTGTTTTGGAAGAATGTAACTGTACGAGGCTGTATATTACTCTCTTGGCCAATCATGGAGAGGTTATTATGAATAAAGTTTGCATATTGAAGAGACGATGAAACGCTTGATGCTAATTTCCGGCGAAAATTACTGGAGCGTTTCATTACTGATTTTGTTTTTGGAGTGGCTTAGGCTAGGCTTGATTAATTCAAGTGGTGTCAAGGCGTATCTGTCTTTATCATTTTATACTGCTCCAGAAAAACGAACATATATGGCTTCTGGTAAACCGCGTTATGATGCGTTTGTTGACAATGGCGATGAAGAATCTGGTGGGATGTCAGGTAAATGAATATTAGACCTACTTATTAGAGAAAAAAGGCTAGGGAGGGGCTTAGGCCTAGTAGGTAGGAAGGAAAGAGAACGACCATCGCTAAGTCAAGAAAGGTGGTGACAGGTGGAGGTGGCTGGTAAAGTAGTAGACAAGCCCTAAGTCAGTCAGCTGACTGCCAACATAATCACATCCTCCCTAGGCCTAGCCTAATTTAAGTAATCCAACATCATCAATTTTACGGGAGTCTCCTGTAATCGAGATGACCTCCTATACTCCCGCAAACACGCCGGAATCTCATAAAATACCCCATTTTCGCAAATTCATTTGCTTGTTTTTTTTGTTTTTGTTTTTATTATTGTAGGCCTAACCTAGGCTAGGCCTACAGTAGATAGAGATAGGCTTATGTCCCCCTAGGTCCTACTCTACTTACTTAAATATCAATTGTCTCACAGAAGTCAGTGATTTTCTCTGGTGTGCTAATCCTAAATAAAACAATGGTGCTACTACAAAAATATGTTATTTGCATTGTAGCCATCCAGATAAATTAATACAAATTGTGCAAAAAAATTACTGGAAAATAGGTGCGCAAAAGGAAATTTTTGTATAATATTAATATGAAAGTGAATATATTTACGTCACCATAAATCAAAATCAGTTAATGATATATTACATGTAGTAAATAACACATGCGCAGTCATACTTTAATATACTTTTTTGCATTATCAGTCACGTACAGTAAATTTATCAATTCTACATTAATTTACATAATATTGTGAGTTTAACTTTCAGCACTCAAAATTAGCATCGGCCCAAGCTACGGTGCTAAAGCTCACCACGGCACTGATTAAATTATAATTTTGTTTTTAAAATGTAATTTAATATCCTACTATAG